AGGTTGTGTAAGTACTGTTAGGTTGTGTAAGTACTGTTAGGTTGTGTTAGTAGTTACTGTTAGGTTGTGTAAGTACTGTTTAGGTTGTGTAAGTACTGTTAGGTTGTGTAAGTACTGTTAGGTTGTGTAAGTACTGTTAGGTTGTGTTAGTAGTTACTGTTAGGTTGTGTAAGTACTGTTAGGTTCTGTTAGGTTGTGTAAGTTAGTTACTGTTAGCTTCTGTAAGTACTGTTAGGTTGTGTAAGCAGTTACTGTTAGCTTTTGTAAGTACTGTTAACTGTTAGGTTCTATGTACTTATGTCACTCTTTGGTTAAACCTCTAATCTTCGGCACTGATATAAGATAAGGTATGGTTGATTTCTCCAAAGAGAGATTTGATGTGGCAAGGGAAATCCAAACAGGCACACACACTAGTTGACACGCACGCACGCATACACACACACACACATACACACACATACACACACACACACACACGCATTTGCAAACACAGACACAACCAGAGTAGTTGTTAGGTGGTCGTCAGATGGGCCTATTTGTGTTGCAAGTGCCATAAATACTCTTACTAAAATTTAAACTAAACTGAATTTTTTTTCTCTCTTCCCACCCCTCCCTACAGTTTGACGAAAGTGTCAGGATCTGGGACGTGAAGACGGGCAAATGTCTGAAAACTCTCCCCGCCCACTCGGACCCAGTCACTGCTGTGAGTTGTGTCCAGACGATAAGTCGTGAGGAAATGTTTCCGTTTGTAGTGTTGGCCACTTCATGATCTGGAACAGACATGTTGGAATGGATGAGCTGTGCTGCTCATTATATGATTACTATCTGGAACAGACATGTTGGAATGGATGAGCTGTGCTGCTCATTATATGATTACTGTGGCAAGAATTTGTTTATCTTGTTTAGTTTTATTTCTGTTTTTAATATTTGTCGTCCAATGAACAAGAGAAAGATGTTTGCTTTTCCCCAGCACACCGCAAGGTCTGAGAGGTCGGGGGGACAAGGTCAATAAAACTGTCACTGTAAGTGCATTGACAAACTTGAAGTTTAATGAAGCGTGTCAACTCCCATATGTTGGGGCAGATAAGCACACCACGTAAGACAAGGGAAAGGCACTCTACAGTTTTTTACCACAAACCTTTAAGCAGTTGCATGTTCTAGGACGAAAAACTATCAGCAATACGCAAATGCGTGTCAAAACGATCAAATACGAATCTTTTGATTTTCCGGTAAGCATGATCGCCATTCCTTGAAACCCACTGTCGAGCCCTACTGGGATGGTAAAACTTGTCCCAGGTCTCTGCCTCTCCTTGTGGAAGGTCTGGAATTTGTCCGTGTTGCCCGATTCCGTGTAGTTTGGGTACTTGTGAATTTAGAATACGCTAGCAATTGCTGATACCTCTTGTTTTGCTCCTTTAAGTATCGGAATCGGAAATTAATTAGCGTTCGATGATAGAATTTTGTTTGCGTTCAGCCCTTTGTTCAGACGTGGTCGCAAAACAGGCATTTCATTTTCAAAATAAGCAAAGTCATCATTCCCCAGCCTGGAAAATACGCAAAGTGAATTTGGGGTGTTGGCAAGTCTGTTAGACCTGCATGTCTAGTCTGTGATCGTGACAAGTCGCTAGCTGTTATTTCCTGTACTTTACTTTCTTTGCCATGCTCACAACCTAGGATAGCCAGCAAGGTCTATGACTTCTCTTTCTCTTTGGATGGTAACGGTCATCATGGCTTCATGATGGAGGAACTTTTATTATTATTATTGTTATTACTATTATTATTATTATTATCATTATATTTCTATTATTACTACTATAATTAGTAAATTACTATCATTATTATTATTTTTACTCTTATTATAATTATTATCATCTTCATCCCCGTCTTTGTCCCAGGTCCACTTTAACCGAGACGGAGCTCTGATCGTGTCCAGCAGTTACGACGGTCTGTGGTAAGTGCCACCTGCTCACTACCCAGAATGCACCATTTATGTTTCTCTGATAGACAGTTTGTTTGGGATGAGAGGTCGGTTCCCATTGTATGGGATGAGAGGTCGGTTCCCGTTGTATGGGATGAGAGGTCGGTTCCCGTTGTATGGGATGAGAGGTTGGTTCCCGTTGTAGGGGAATCGTTCATCCGTTGCTAGGTTACAGGGTTTCTAAAGTGGCAGGCCGCGTTAGACGGCAAAATTGCCAAGTTGTCCTCAGCTTTATCGTCCTAACTCTGGTCCTGACAAATTTGAAATTCAACAAAATATTTCTCAAGCATATGTTATTGATACCACAGCAATAGAAAAAATAAATGGTGGAACAGAGTTTATTGTTTTCTTCTGACAACGACGGTTTGTGAATCTTTTCTTGTCAGATTGTAGCCGGTAATGACAGCACTTCTTGTTTGTTTTCATACAGTCGCTGTCTCCTTCATTGCCCTGTCTCCTTCATTGCCCTGTCTCCTTCATTGCCCTGTCTCCTTCATTGCCCTGTCTCCTTCATTGCCCTGTCTCCTTCATTGCCCTGTCTCCTTCATTGCCCTGTCTCCTTCATTGCCACTTTCAGTTTTGATTTTTTAAAGATAGTTCTATTATTCTCAGGGCTTTTGTGAGTGCATGCTGCAGATGGCAGGGTGCGTGGTTGGCGGGTGCTCTGGTGTGGTTTGCTCCTTCTTTCCTTCTATCAAACATCTATCGTCTTTATCTCCCTTCCTTCTTTTCTTTCCCTTTTTTTGTGTCTGTTACTTCCTTGTAACATCTCTAATCTTCAGCACTGATATGACCATATTGTGTTGCAAGTGCCGTAAAACTCTTACTAAAACTAGATGGCGGGGTTTTCAGTCGACAGGACCTGTATGTTGAGTATAGATGGCCAGCTTTTCATTAAGTCCAGTCGCAGTCTCTAATCTGTTTTTTTTTTGTTTTTCCACAGCCGCATCTGGGATACCGCGTCTGGACAGTGCTTGAAAACTCTGATAGGTTTGTGTCATTTGACCTTCTTATCTCTCTGAAGGGGAGGCGTAGTTTTGTATTCAACCATGGGAGGTCGAGGTGCTGCTAAAGTATTTGGTTGTTGTTTTTTTTCATCATCATTAGATGGGGAACATTTGTTCTTGAATACATTGAAATAGGTGGGTGGGGGTTGGCTTGTTGGATAGCTGGCTGGCTGGCTGGCTGGCTGGCTGGATAGGTAGGTGAGTGGCTGGCTGGCTGGATAGGTAGGTGAGTGGCTGGCTGTTCTGTGAGAATTTTTTCTCTCAGTTTTGAGGGAGCTAAAAGTTGCACTCACGTATTGTTTGTTGATTTTCTGAACTCCTTTTTTTTCTGTTTGAGTCAATTGTCTGTTTTTGGGTTGTTTGGGTCAATTGTCTGTTTTTGGGTTGTTTGGGTCAATTGTCTGTTTTTGGGTTGTTTGGGTCAATTGTCTGTTTTTGGGTTGTTTGGGTCAATTGTCTGTTTTTGGGTTGTTTGGGTCAATTGTCTGTTTTTGGGTTGTTTGGGTCAATTGTCTGTTTTTGGGTTGTTTGGGTCAATTGTCTGTTTTTGGGTTGTTTGAGTCAATTGTCTGTTTTTGGGTTGTTTGAGTCAATTGTCTGTTTTTGGGTTGTTTGAGTCAATTGTCTGTTTTTGGGTTGTTTGGGTCAATTGTCTGTTTTTGGGTTGTTTGGGTCAATTGTCTGTTTTTGGGTTGGGGTTTTTTTTTCTTTCTTTCTCATCAAAAACATTTTTTCTCCTCTCAAGAATGTAGCTGAAAGTTTATGCCAGATTATTTTTTTTTTTAAGTAAAAGAAATCTTGAGTTTGTTCTAAAAACGTTGTAGAAAATATTTGCGGTTACTTTGCAAGTTGCTTGTTTTTCATTCAAATGGTAAACTGCTTGTTTTATGAGGTATTGTACATAAGTCAGACTAATTCTGCTTGTTTTATGAGGTATTGTACATAAGTCAGACTAATTCTGCTTCTTTTATGAGGTATTGTACATAAGTCAGACTAATTCTGCTTCTTTTATGAGGTATTGTACATAAGTCAGACTAATTCTGCTTGTTTTATGAGGTATTGTACATAAGTCAGACTAATTCTGCTTGTTTTATGAGGTATTGTACATAAGTCAGACTAATTCTGCTTCTTTTATGAGGTATTGTACATAAGTCAGACTAATTCTGCTTCTTTTATGAGGTATTGTACATAAGTCAGACTAATTCCAATGTGTTTTGCAAATACAAATGTTTTAAAAAGTTTTTTCTTTCTCTAACCTTTTGAGCCCTGACCCGAGACTTTCGTGCCCCCTCTGCCGGGACTCCTGAGCAATTCACGCCTACATTACTCATGTTCATATCATTGTCAGAGTCATGTTTCATATCCGTGGGTGGTTGGCGGCTGCTCTGGTGTGGTTTGCTCCTTCTTTCCTATAAAAAATCTATCGTCCTTTTCTCCCCTCCTTTTTTGTGTTTGTTACTCTCTTGTAACACCTCTAATCGTCGGCACTTCTATGACCGTATTGTGTTGCAAGGGCCGTAAACCTCTTACTAAAACTTTTTTAAAAAATCTTCAAAATAATCTATAACGTCCACAAAAGTTTTCCATGCACTTAGAGTTTCAGACGGGCTGGATTGTGGATAGGGTCTCGCTCACCGATGTACCGGTGGCTTGATGTGCGGGCAGTTTGACCTGTCACTGATATACTAACGGGCAGGGCTCAAAGTGTTAAAGCTTGCTTGGAAAGTTCATCAGCACGTTTTGTGCCACTTTATGGGAAAACTGTCGACTTTGTTAGCATGTGAGAGGTCTTCTTCTTCTTCTACCACAGATGATGACAATCCGCCCGTGTCCTTTGTCAAGTTCTCACCAAATGGAAAGTATATTCTAGCTGCCACATTGGACAAGTAAGTGTTTGTCTTTTTTTGGCCAACTAATGCTACTGTGATTTATAGATAGAAGGCAAACTTAATTGTAAAGAAAAGTGTGGGTGGTTGGCGGGTGCTCTGGTGTGGTTTGCTCCTTCTTTCCTACCAAACATCTATGGTCCTGATCTCTCCTCCTTTTTTGTGTTTGTTACTCTCTTGTAACACCTAATCTTCATCACTTATATGACCTTGTTGTGTTTTAAGTGCCGTAAAACTTTTATTAAAAACTAAGCTTTCTTGTAATATCTCCATTTTTAATAACAGTGAAAACAGTTCATAACAAAGAGTTAGCTTAAGAAGATGTCACATTTTCACTGTTTAAAAGAATGGAGATACGACAAGAAAATACTGAGGTCGCATAATGGTACTGTGGTTTCTAAAAAAAGGCAAACTTAATTGTAAAGACGAGCGGATTAGATTTATTGGTTCCTATACACTGATATTTTGTGGAGGTTACCACTTCCAAGTGAAGTACATTGTGTCTCATGTTACTACTTCCAAGTGAAGTACATTGTGTCTCATGTTACTACTTCCAAGTGAAGTACATTGTGTCTCGTGTTACTACTTCCAAGTACATTGTGTCTCATGTTACTACTTCCAAGTACATTGTGTCTCATGTTACTACTTCCAAGTACATTGTGTCTCATGTTACTACTTCCAAGT